CTGGCTGCAGTCTATACAGTAGAGCACCAAAAGGCAACAAAAATTGTGAGTTGGGGGGACCAAGATGCTCTGCAGAGCTGGTTTTTCTCTGCTCTGCTTTCCCCCCCAATCAGTTGGATGTACTCCATAAATATAGATGCCACCTCAAAGGTTCTAGGCTTAGCTGGTGTCTTGTGGGTCTCAGTGAGGACCCCTTGTATTTGCACACCCTCATTTTTTTTTGTGCCCTTTGTATGACATTGTTCTCTACAGTAATAAAGCAATGTTTAAAGGCTGCTTGGCTTTGCAAGGCAAACCTGATCGGAGTGGGTATCTGCCGGTGAGGAAAGCTGCTCTGCTGGGGGTGCAGAGAGGAGCTGCAGCAATGTGTTGGGTCAATTTCACTCCTTCCTTTGCCAGGCGATCAATGTTCGGGGTCCTAAAAATGCAACCAGCAGCATCAGATATCATTCAGAGAGTTTTTCGAGGGAATAAAGAATTATATACTTATCTTTATTTTGGGAATTTTCTTTTATTTGAAGATGGGCAGGACATAGTTTTTTAACATTTATTTTAACTTTCTTAAAGGCTGGGTAAATAGTTCTTTTTTTTTTTTTTTCTTTTTACATTAACGTCTGTATCTGGAATAATTTCAAGCCAACCATTCCTTCTTGTTTCCCATGTCCTGTGAAGAGTCTTGCAGAAATCATAGAACTATAGAATGGTTTGGTTTGGAAGGGACTTTAAATATAATCAAGTTCCAAGCCTCCTGCCATGTGCAGGGACACCTTCCACTAGATCATGGTGCTCAGAACCCCATCCAACCTGGTCTTGAACACTTCCAGGGCTCAAGGGCTTCTCTGGGCAACATGCTTCAGTGCCTCACCTCTCTCACAGTAAAGAATTTCTTTCTAATGTCTAATCTAAACCTACCTTCTTTCAGTTTAAAGCCATTCCCCCTTATCCTGTCTCTGCATTTCCTCGTAAAATTTCCCCTCCAGCCTTATTATGGGCCCACTTGAGGTACTGGATGGCTGCTATAAGGTCTCCCTGGAGCCTTTTCTTCTCCAAAATATTTTTGAATTATATTTTTCTTACGCAGGGTTGAGGCTGGAATAACAAACAATCAGTCCCACATGTATGAGGAGAGCTGTCTCTACGCTGGACCTGTGCTTTTTCTCTCTGCCTCAAGAAGCTCCGTCACTTGCATGAAACATGCATAGACCTTTCATCCCTCCAGAACTGCATTTCCTACACCAGATTTTTAAAGAGGAGCATATCAGCGTACAGTGTAATGGTAATTTAGTTGCCACAGGGTGACAGTGCTTGACTACACAAGATGCTACATAACTTACAGTACAGAAGAGGAAGCAAACAAAATGCTTCTCCTAATGTTTGAAATGAAGAGAAAAGGAGAAAAATAGGAGGAAATCCTGCATGTTTTCACACTGTAGTGGCAATCTCTTTTGGCAGCATGAATTAAGTGTAGGTGAGTGAAGGGTATTTTGTAGACAACTGACAATCAGCAAAACCAGGCTTGCCTAGCACAGTAGTTACAGACAGGAGAATATCTTACATTTCAGAATACAAAACTTCGTCGCTCTACTAGTACATCCCAAATGTACCCCACTGCTTTTGAATAGAAAATCTATGCCAGGGGGATGATGGTATGGAGGCCCAGCATTGCAGAGCACCAGCAGCTACCTACATTTACCAGCTGCCTATCAGAAACTTGCCAACTGAAGCCGGTCAGAGTAAGATTCCGAGAAATTTGCTGGATGAGGGGAGTGACCACAGCAAATTTGGTTTTGTTGAAAGAAGTGACAAGCTGGTAGGAAGCCAGAAGGCAATACTGTGGCACAATTTTGGAAGAGAAGGCAAATTCTCTGTCCCTGAGATTGAAAAGAGAAGTATTTCCTGTTAACATAGTTCATTGCAGTGATTTCACTGTACTTTGATGTGAGACTGGGAAACGTAATGGTAGCATAAAGTTAAAGTGAGGTATAATAGCTTGGTTAAACAGGGGGATTCTGAAGGAAATCAGGGATAAAAAGAGAGTTTACCAGCTATGGAAGAAAGGATTGACTACTTATGAAGAATTCAGGAAGACAGCAAGATTATGCAGACAGAAAATCAGGGATGCAAAAGCACAATTTGAAGTTAAATTGGCCACTTCTGTTAAGGATAACAAAAAGCA